CCCCTTCCGGTAGTTCTGCGCCGACGGGAAAACCAAGCGTGATGCCTTGTGCGGAGCTGAAGTTCTGCCAGTCGGTATCTACGTTTTTGATATCTTCGTATTTAGTCAGCGACCAGAAACGACCTGCCATGTCAGTTTCGTTGAAATGTACCGGATCTTCAGCCCGCAAGCGCTCGAAACACTCCTGCCATCGATTTTCGCTGAACAGTCGAGGATTCACCGGAAGTAAATCTTCCAACGGAACGTCATAGGCTGACGGCAGTTCACCGGTTGTGTCTGCGCCTGCGGCGCCAGGCATACCTGCTGGGGTATCAGTTGATTTTGATGAACTTGTCGAATTACTCATTGCGCAGACCCTGAACCAGAATTGTGAAACTTAAAACCGCATGCTACCTAAGACGCTAATTGATCGCGATGGGGTTAATAAACATCTGCACAGATCCGCGTACCTTGGCTTGACCCAGCACAAAGAGGAATTCGAAGGCTTCGTCGCGCACCAGTGGGCCAGTATTCATAGTCTCCAGAACGTAAATGCCATTCTCCTTGAGTAGAATCACGTGCCCCTGGAAAGGGCGCTCAGCATGTTGTGGGGGTACCACGTCCAGTCCCCAGGTGTCAGCGCCAACGGCGACGACATTTTTACTCGCCAGATAGCGGGCAACCTCTTCAGATTGACCGGGTTCGCCGGATACCCATGCCTGCGGGTCACTCTGCATTTTGTTCTCGGTCCAACCCGTATGGAACAGCACCACATCACCCTCCTGTATGGGTGTACCCTGTTTGGCCTCGACTGCCTGCACATCTTCCACGGTAAAATACTGACCTGCGGCAAGGTAAGGTTTGCCAAAGTGTCCTGCCATGTCCAGCACCACGCCGCGTGCAACCATGGGGGGGACTTTCTCGGTACCGAGTTTTTTCAACCCTGATATGTCTGCAAAGTCTTTTGCATCATTGCAGTTGTAATACATGCCCTCGTAGCCGAGATGACCCAGTCCATCCAGCTGTGAACCAATGCCAAACCAACCCTGGAAGATGTCATCGTTGTAGGTTGCGCCCATATTTGGCCGTGCGCCCTCCTGTTGTCCCGGTTGTACAACCTGTAAAGATAGGCTGCGGGGGGCAAAGGCTGGCGTGGTTGAATCGATGGTGATGCCAAGGCTATAGGTTTGACCGGTTTTGATCAGCTGTGCTGCTTTCAGCACGGTTGCGGCATTGATCAGATTTATGTTGCCAATTTCGTCGTCCGGTCCCCACTTAGATGGCGTGCAAGCCTCTTCGGCCTGGGCAACCGTGACACCGCAGACCAATACAATGCTGATGACTAGTTTCTTCATGCTCTTCCCCTGATCGCTGCTGATTGAATCTGCACTTTAACCAGTTTTTGCAGGCACATACACGCTCGGGTGTTGTGATCGACTTTGCTAAACAATTGAAGTACGTAGTTTATGATGGCTTCTTTGTGTCAGTAACAGGTAGACAATGACAATGGACAGTCAGACTTCGCCGCGCAGTATTCTGGTGCTTTCCTGCCCGGACACCACCGGCATTGTTGCTGCAGTCACCAGCTTTCTTGCGAGTAATAACGCAACGCTGGTGGAAGCGTCACACTTCAATGACGAAACCACACGGCGCTCTTTCCTGCGCACTGTTTTTCACGACGATGGGCGTGGCATGGGGACCCTGGCAGAGCTGCAGGCGCGTTTCAAACCGATCGGCGACCAGTTTTCAATGGACTGGCAGTTCTATCCAGAAGAGCGTCCATTAAAAACAATGATCGCGGTGACAACGGCTGGCCACTGTCTCACCAGTTTGCTGCAGCGTTGGAGTGTGGGCAGTTTGCCCGTTGATATTGTGGGTATCGTCTCCAACCGTGATGCGCTTAAAAATCACGCCGATTGGCACAAAATTCCTTTTTCCTATCTGCCTATTGATAAGGGCCATGAAGCCGAGCAGGAGAAAGCGCTGTTGGATTGTTTCCTGCAAAGTGAAGCCGAACTGTTGGTGCTGGCGCGTTACATGCGGGTGCTGAGCCCTGAGTTATGCGCTCAGCTGGAAGGCCGATGTATCAATATCCACCATTCCTTCCTGCCCGGCTTTAAAGGCGCGCGGCCTTATCACCAGGCGTTTAATCGCGGTGTGAAAATTATCGGTGCAACCGCTCACTATGTGACCGGTGATCTGGATGAAGGCCCCATCATCGAGCAGGCTGTTGAACGTGTTGATCATGCGTTTACGCCTGCGGATCTGGTGAATCACGGCCGTGACCTGGAAAGCAGCGTATTGAACAGAGCTGTATTGTGGCACGCGGAACACCGTGTATTTCTAAATGGCAATAAGACGGTGGTGTTAAAGTAGCTAGCAGGGAGTATCGAAGACGGGGCGGCTTCGCGGGGTATCTGAGGTTGGAACGATGCGGCCCGCTCAACTGAGCGGGCGCACCTTGTTACTGCTGTTCAGCTCAAAGCCAACAGCATGTTTTTACTACTGCAGATCGAATCGATCCAGACGCATAACCTTTGTCCAGGCGCTGACGAAATCCTGCACGAATTGTTCCTGTGCATTGTCGTAAGCGTAAACTTCAGCGATTGCGCGTAGCTCGGAGTTGGAACCAAAGATCAGATCCACAGGGGTTGCGGTAAATTTCGCTTCCCCGGTTGCTCTGTCGAAACCTTCGTAGAGGCCTTCTGTATCAGCTTTGCGCCATTGTGTGGACATATCCAGCAAATTAACGAAGAAGTCATTGGTCAGCGTGCCGGGCGCATCTGTTAATACGCCATGCGCAGTGCCGTTCCAGTTGGTATCAAGTACGCGCATACCGCCTAACAAAGCTGTCATCTCGGGCACGGTCAGTTTTAACTGATCAGCTTTGTCTACCAGCATTTCGGCCGGTGTACGGTAGCTTGCTTCAGCATTGAAGTAGTTGCGAAACGCATCGGCTTTCGGCTCGAGTAACGCAAATGAAGCGACATCAGTCTGCGCCTGAGTTGCATCAGCACGACCTGCTGCAAATGGCACGTTGATTTCAACGCCTGCAGCCTCTGCTGCTGCCTCAACACCAGCACCGCCTGCCAGCACGATCAGATCTGCCAGTGAGATTTTGGCCTTGCCGGAGCGATTAAAGTCAGCTTGAACCTCACGCAAAGTCTGCAGTGCCTGTGCCAGTACCTGCGGATTGTTCACCTGCCAGTCTTTTTGAGGTGCTAATGCCAGGCGGGCGCCATTTGCGCCACCGCGCATGTCGCTGGCGCGAAAGCTCGATGCGGATGCCCACGCAACGCTGACTAATTCTTTTGGCGTCAAACCAGAGTCGAGGATTGTCTTCTTTAAGCGTTTTACATCACGGTCGCTGACCAGTGGGTAGTCGACTGCGGGGATCGGGTCCTGCCAGATCAGTTCCTCTGCGGGTACCGCATCGCCAAGATAGCGCTGTCGTGGCCCCATATCTCTGTGCGTCAGCTTGTACCACGCCTTCGCGAATGCCAATTGATATTCATCCGGGTTGGCCAGAAAACGTTCTGCTATGGCTTTGTACTGCGGATCAAATTTGAGCGCCAGGTCAGCAGTGGTCATAACCGGGGCATTGAACTTGCCCTCGACATGAGCATCCGGCACTGAATTGTGCAGAGACTCATCCGTTGGAATCCACTGGATCGCGCCACCGGGTGAGCGAGTCTGTTGCCACTCGAAGTTCAACAGGTTCTGTAAATAAAGCGTGGTCCATTGGGTAGGCGCCTGTGTCCATGCACCCTCCAGGCCGCTGGTAACGGTATCTTCTGAGTGCCCTTTGCCACATTTGTTTTTCCAGCCCAGGCCCTGTTCTTCAAGGGCCGCACCGGCAGGCTCTTTACCAACACATTCGCTGGCTTTGTGCGCACCGTGCATTTTGCCGAAGGTGTGACCACCGGCAATCAGAGCCACGGTTTCTTCATCATTCATCGCCATGCGTCCGAAGGCGACGCGGATGTTTCTGGCTGAACCAATCGGGTCGGGTTTACCTTTTGGTCCTTCCGGGTTGACGTAGATCAGGCCCATATGGGTCGCGCCAAGTGGTCGCTGCAGCTCGCCATCGCGGGTTTCGCGATCGCTTGCCAGCATTTTCACTTCCGGGCCCCAGTAAACCAGATCCGGTTCCCAGTCGTCAGTCCGTCCACCAGCAAATCCATAGGTTTCAAAGCCCATGTTTTCCAGCGCAACGTTGCCAGCCAGAATCATCAAGTCACCCCAGGAGAGGCTGCGTCCGTATTTCTGTTTTACGGGCCATAGCAGACGTCGGGCTTTGTCGAGGTTGCCGTTGTCTGGCCAGCTGTTGAGCGGATCGAAACGCATCTGTCCGCCATCACCGCCGCCGCGACCATCAAGGGTGCGGTAGGTACCAGCCGCGTGCCAGGACATACGAATGAAAAATGGGCCGTAGTTACCGAAGTCTGCAGGCCACCAGTCCTGTGATTGGGTGAGGAGTGTGTCGATGTCTTTCTTGACTGCCGCCAGATCGAGTTGAGCAAATGCTTCCGCGTAGTCGAAATCATCGCCGAAGGGATTTGAGCGTGCATCATGGTCGCGTAGAGATGAGAGGTTGAGCTGCTCCGGCCACCAGAAGTTGTTGGACCTGGGCTCACCCGCTGATACCGCACCGGTGCCACTGGTGCCCTGAGGTTTTGCCATGTCAGCTTCAGCGGAAGCCGGGTTGGTTGCTGCGAACAGCGCTACCAGTCCTGCCACGAGAGTCGCTTTGATTGGAATGTGTATATTCATTGCGTTTTTGATTACCTTTTTGAGGAAATGCCCTTTTTTGCATATCGTTAGTCTGATAGTAGGCTCCTTTCACTGGTAGATAAAATAGATTGTTTCGATCGGTACGATTGGCAAAGACTATTGGTTCGATTTTGCTGTTTTGCTCAGGAGCGTGGGGAATGCTGCAGACTAATTTCCGGGGAGCGGGAAAAATGAGTGTTCGCGCAAACGTCATTTCTTTCATTCTTCGCCACTCGCTTAAAAAACGCATGGCTTCGTTTGATGATCCGCTCGAACTGCGCGGGCAGGCCGGAGCAACCATCGGCAAATTCCCTGCTGAAGCGGTCACTGAATCCGTGAATGCTGATGGCGTTGGTGCGCAATGGGTAAGTTGGCAGACGACATCTGTTGATGCGGCGCCTGGCGATACCGTTATTCTTTATCTGCACGGTGGTGGTTATGTTTTTGGTGGGCTGGACAGTCATCGCGGACTGGCTTGGCGACTTGCCAGACAGTGCGCAAGCAAAGTGCTCGTAGCAGATTACCGCCTGGCGCCTGAGCATGTTTATCCGGCTGCTGTGGAAGATGCAGTAACCGCCTACCAGTGGCTCTTGGCTCAGGGTATTCCCGCGCAGAACATTGTGGTTGCCGGTGACTCGGCCGGTGGCGGCCTGTCTGTTGCGCTGCTTGTGAAGCTCAAAGAACTGGGTTTGCCTCAACCGAAAGCGTGTGTCTTGTTTTCCCCCTGGACGGATTTAACCCTATCTGGTGGGAGCATTGAGGAAAATGCAGAGAAAGATGCGATGCTGTCCCCGGCTGCATTAGAACGGTTTCGCGATTTGTATCTTGGAGGTCCTGGCGGTATTGATCCCCGCACGCCATTTGCATCCCCCTTGTTTGCCGATCTTTCTGCGCTACCCGATACTTATGTGCTGGTCGGTAGTGAGGAAGTGCTGCTGGACGATTCGAAACGTCTTGTTGAAAAGCTCAACGAAGCGGGTGGCCGGGCGACGCTGTCGGTATGGCCAAAGATGCCGCATGTTTTTCCCCTGCTGGCACCGTTCCTACCGGAGGGAGACAAGGCGATAGCGGAAGTGGCAACGTTTTTACGCACGCAACACTGACGCTGGGTGCGATGCTTACTTAGATGTCCAGCGGGCCTTTCGATTCTGCCTTGTCTGCGCTGTTCAATCGTTCAGCGAGATTCTGTAAAACCAAACCCTGAGGGTCGGCGATAACCGGCGCCATAGCGAGGTGGAATGGTTCTTCAGATGACGCCTTCTGGGCAACGACAATGATTTCTTCACTGACTGTTGCCAACGTGTCTTCAGCGTGCTGTGCCTGATGGTTGTCTTCAGCCTGTGCAGACAGGCTTAAAAAGAGAAGGCCAATGCTGGTGAGATATGCTGTTTTTGATGACATGTTACTTTTCTACCCACTTTGTTGGGCGGCATCATACTCACAAGGCGAGTTGGATCTGTGACTCAGCTCGCACTGTACGATCAAAACTGTTGGTTGAGCTTACGCCAGCTGTGGCTGCTGGTGCTTTTCAATCTCTTCACGCAATTCATCCGGCCAATCGATAGCGCGGCGCGCGTCGAGATCGATACAAACACCTACGGTATCGCTCATACCTAGCAGCTGGCCGGTGTTTTTGTTCAGCGCCCAGCGTCGCGACAGTCTCGACTTGGCTTCAACTTTTAAATCGGTGCTGAAATAACTCAATTCATCTCCCAGCCGCGGCTGCGCAAAAAGCATGGTGCGTGTTTCCATCACCGCCCAACCGATACGCAAGCCAGCAGACGTGGTGATAACCGGAGGCCCGGGCTTTACGCCCGCTTCTAACGCCATTTTTGCAAAGGGTAAGAACATCAGCTCAACGTCTTCTTTGAGCCAGCCTTCTGCGTCGACATCCTCTGCCTCAATAAGCGCAGAGCGTTTCCCACTCATCATGCCACCACCCTCTACGTCAGGTATGCTGTTCTGCAGTACTTCCAGAGTAATATCGGTTTTTGCAGGTCCCAGGGTCAGGCTCCGAGGCTGGGCATATGCCGGTATATCAATGTAGGTTGAGCCGCTAATATTTCCCGTTGGGATTGGCAGGGTTTGCGTGTCGCGCGTTTTGCGGTCAATCAAGGCTGTGGTCACCACAAAAGTGGCTGCAACAGCATCGGTATCGGGGTTTCGAATTTCGACGTAGCTCTGTACGCCGCCTTCACCCATCGACAGCAGACCACCCACGGTCTGCAAAGTTGCACCCTCAAACTGTTCGTTGCGGAAGCGGGTATACGTATCGACCGAGCGTAAAAAACTGTGTTCCAGAACGCCTGGGTCTATGCCGAGGGTATCGACCAGCAGACGGTTAGCGCTCTGCATTCGTGTCATATAGTACCGAACGTTCATATGCCCCAGAGAATCTATCTCTTCGGCAAGGACAGTGGAGGTGTGCAGAACTTGCATCAGCTATGGAACCCTTAGTATGTTGGACAAAGCCCACCATTATACGGATTTTAAGGGCAGAGTAAGATTTTGAAGTCATTCTGCTCTGGCCAGACGGTCCCGCAAGCGAGAAGTCATGCAAAATTTCATACAGTTCCGCAATCTCCGCCTGAATCGCAGTCTGCTGCTGGTTGTTTTTGCACTCATAAGTGCTGCCTGCAGTTCCGAGGACTCCGTACAGGCTCCGGTTGCGGCAGCGCCCTCTTACAGCGTTGATATTCGCTGGACAAGTTACGGGATCCCTCATGTCAAAGCTGAAAACTGGCAAAGTCTGGGTTATGGGTTTGCCTACGCCACAGCAACGGATGCGGTGTGTGTGATTGCAAAAGACGTTGCGATGGTGAACGGCAATATGTCCCGGTATTTTGGGGACAGCGATGAACATCTCGCCAGCGATGTCTTTCACAAAGCCATCCTCACTGACGCAAAACTTCAGGATTACCAGGCCGCGCAGACAGAGCGAACCCACGCCTTTAACGATGGCTATGTCGCGGGCTACAACCGCTATCTGCGTGATCACCAAGGCACTCTGCCTGCCAGTTGTCAGAATCAGGCCTGGGTACAGAATATTTCCCTGCAGGATATGCATCGACTCGCCATTGGTGTCGGTATTCGGTATGGCCTGGGGCGTTTCCAGAAGGAGATAGCTGGTGCTTCACCGCGCGATATGCTGGATGAGCAAAAACAGGTTGCAACCAATACGCAATGGGAATGGCCGGCGGGTATCGGTAGTAATGCGGTCGCGGTGGGCAGTGCATTGTCGCAATCAGGACGCGGAATGCTCCTGGGTAACCCGCATTATCCATGGCATGGATCCTCGCGGTTCCACCTTATACACACCACTATTCCGGGAGAAGTGGACGTGATGGGCACGAGTCTGCTCAACACTTCGCGCGTGGCGATTGGCTTCAATAAAGACATTGCCTGGACACACACCGTTTCGACGGCACTGCGTTTTACGCTCTACCAGCTTGAGCTCAATCCTGAAAATCCGATGGAGTACAAGTATCAGGATACGTTCAGGCCGATTCAGGCGCGGACCCTGCAGGTTGCTCATGTGGATGCGCAAGGCAACTCGAAAACAAGTGAGCACACGGTCTATTTTACCCACTATGGACCGATGATCGAAAATGAGCAATTCCTCTGGGGTGAGACCCACGCGTACACCCTGCGCGATGCAGTGTTAGATAATTATCTGACTGCTGATACCTATGATGCGCTTAACAGTGCGGGTTCGACCGCGGAAGTTGAAGCTGCGATCAGCAAGCATGGTGTCTATTGGACCAACACAATTGCCGCAGATCGACAGGGGAATGCGTTCTATGCTGATATCAGTGGAACCCCGAACGTGGATGCAGACCTCATTGAAGCCTGCGGTGTCAGTGTTGAAGGTGCGCCAGAGCGTTTGGTTATCCTTGACGGATCGAGGCCGGATTGTGAGTGGAAGAATGACCCTCGCAGTGCGGTTCCCGGTGCCCTGCCAGCACAGGACATGCCGCGCATAACCCGGCAGGACTATGTCACCAATTCCAACGACAGCTTCTGGTTAAGTAACCCAACTGCACCGTTGGAAGGTTACTCCCCGATTATTGGTTCTGAACGCAGTGCGCGTTCCTTGCGTACCCGTGCAGGCCTCACTCAAATGGCGGCTATGGTGGCAGCGGAAAATAAAATTGCGCCAGATGATCTTAAAAACATGCTCTACAATCATCGAAATTATGGCGCCGAGCTGTTGCTGGACGACGTGTTACAGCTATGCGATGAGGATGCAGAGATCAAGCCTGCTTGCGATGCCCTGCAGCAGTGGGATCGAACCATGAACGTTGATGCCAGAGGCGGGCACGTCTGGCGTGAGTTCTGGTCGATTGCTCGCAATCTCGAGAATATCTACGCAACACCTTTTAATGTGAATGATCCGGTGAACACGCCAGCAGGCATCAATCTCAGCGATGCCGATGTAAGGTCTGCTTTACGAACGGCTCTGGTTACCGCGCAAACGACTCTGCTGGAGGCGAACATCGCGCCGGATGCTCGCCTGGGTGATATTCAATACGCACCGCGCAATGGCAGGAACATTCCGATACCCGGCGGACAAGGCTGGGCGGGTATGTTCAGTATGATTATGGCGGACCTGGATGCAGAGAAAGGATACACACCTATCGTCCATGGCAACAGTTACATCCAGGTGGTCAGTTGGGATGAACAGGGGGCGCTGCAACCGTCAGCGATGCTGACCTATTCTCAGTCTCCTGAACCGGAGTCTCCACACTACAGTGATTTAACGGAGATCTATGCCAAGGGAGGCTGGATTGACCTGCCTTTTACTGAAGCGGAAATCGAAGCTGATCCAAATCTGCGACGTCTGCAACTGGAGGAGTAGGATTGGTGGTTAGCAGTATTTTTCGGCGGGAGGGCCGGCAATGACGTTCAGGCTGGGCATTCTGATTTGCCTCTGTGTTGGTTCGCTCGCTCATGCGGAATCGCGCAAGGTGACGTTACTGTTTACCAATGATTTTGAAAGTGCATATGATCCAACAGATGCTTTCTGGCGTGAAGATATAGAGCATATTGGTGGTGTAGCTCAGTTAGCGTCCCTGATTGAACAGGTTCGAGCAGAAGAAGAACTCGTGTTCCTGTTTGATGCGGGCGATATTTTCACCGGCACTCTGGCGAAACTGACGCATGGGGCCATCTCCTTCGAGCTGATGCTGACAATGGGTTACGATGCCATGGTTATCGGTAACCATGAATTTGAGTACGGCTGGGAGCAGTTTGCCAGGGAAAAAAACCGGGTCCCTTTCCCGGTGCTCGGGGCAAACTTGTATTACCGCGGCACAGAGCATCCCTACGCTCAGCCCTACGCGATCATAGAGCGTCAGGGGGTTCGAATTGGTGTGATTGGTATTCTTGGTCAGGACGCGGCCACAGCACTTATTCCCTCCAATATTGCCGGCCTGGAGGTGCGCGATCCCGTCGCTACAACGGCTGCCTACGTAGATCTGTTGCGTGACACAGTCGATCTGGTTGTTGTGCTCACCCATCAAGGTATGACCGCGCCGATGCAGACTGATGACGAAGCGGACCAGACCGTGCAACGCGGAAATGCTGAAAACCTGGCGCTTGCCAAAGCCGTACCGGGCATTGACGTTATTTTTGCGGGGCACACGGATGCTGGAACCCGCGATCCCATTGTCGATCCCCACAACGGTACGATCATTATGCAGACCTATGGTCAGGGCCAGCATTTAGGTTTTCTGCAGATAGAGCTGGAAGATCAGGTGGCTGCGCCCGGTCAGGTTTTGCGCCACGGTTATTCAGGCAAATTGATCACCGTCGACAGTGATTCGCTGCCTGCTGATGTCCGCATTGCGTCGAAACTCGCGCGTTTCCGTGCTGAATACCCGGAAATTTATGAACAGATAGGCTTCAGTCGTCATTATCTGCCTCGGCGCTACTATCGGGAATCTGGCTTAGGTAATCTGTTTGCAGATATTGTGCGTGAGGCCACCGGAGCTGATATTGGCCTGATGCCCTCAGGGGCGCTGCGCAAAGATCTTCCTGAGGGTGTGATCCGCCGTGTTGATTTGTTTGATGCGTTTCCCTTTGAGGATCGCGTGGCAAGTGTCACCGTTACCGGGGCACTGCTAACACAGATTGTTGAGCAGGGGCTCAGTCTTACCCGTGGCATCCTGCAGGTCTCTGGAATGACGGTTTGTTACGATCCAGCGGCGAACGCGTTTGAGCGGATACACCAGATTCATATACAAGGTGAGCCGCTCAGAAAAGACAAAACATATACGTTAGGCACACTCGAGATTCTGGCGCAGGGGGGTGATGCTTATGTGCAATTTGCGCAGGCTCTGAGCACAGAGATACACCCAGTAAGCTTCGCAGATGAACTTGCCAGATTCTTTGCAGAACGGTCCGTTGTAGAATTACCCGCTCCCGGGCGCCTGAATCCTGTGCCCTGTAGTAACGTGAGCGTTGAGCCCTTATAAATTCGTGCGGTAAAACAATGTCAGAGAACAAACATCATGAAGTGATAGTGATCGGTGCCGGTGTTTCCGGTATCTATCAGATCAAATGCCTCCTTGATTCAGGCATCGATGCCGTTGTGTTGGAAGCGGACGACAATCTCGGCGGCACCTGGTACCGAAATCGTTATCCAGGCGCGCGCTTTGATTCAGAAAGCTATACGTATGGTTATTCTTTTTCCAAGGAATTGTTGGATGAGTGGCATTGGCAGGAGCGGTTCTCTTCCCAGCCGGAAAATCTGCGATACCTCAACTACGTCGCCGACAAATTCAACCTGCGTCGCCATATGCGCTTTGACTCTAAAGTGGAATCAATGCACTGGGACGAAGAATCACGGCTCTGGCATCTGCAGCTTGAGCAAGGTGGACGTTATACCGCTCGATTTGTAATAACCGGGATTGGTGTTTTGTCGGTGCCTACGCTGCCTCGCTACCCGGGTATGGACACGTTTTCTGGCGATGCTTTTCACACGTACTGGTGGCCGAAGGAAGCGGTACCTTTAGCGGGGCGTCGGGTAGGCGTTGTCGGAACAGGGGCGACGGGTATTCAGGTTATCAGTGAGATAGCTGACAAAGTTGGTGAGCTTACCGTTTTTCAGAGGCGACCTAACTGGAGCACTCCGCTGAATAACTCGCCCATCTCTATTGCAGAGATGGCTGGCATTCGCGCCCGATACGACGAAATTTTTGCCAATTGCGCAGCCTCGCCAAATGGTTTTGAACATGTCCCCGACAGCCGTGGTTTTTATGCCCTGACGCATGAACAACGCGTGGCGTTCTGGGATGAACTCTACGACAAACCGGGTTTTGCCATTCTTGCAGGCAATTTTCCGGAGATCTTTTTTGATGAAGCGGCCAACCAAGAAATGTCGGATTATGTGGCCAATCGCATCCGTCAGAGGGTCAGCAATCCAGAAGTTGCGGAACAGCTGATCCCTAAAGATCATGGCTTTGGCATGCAGCGCCTGCCCCTGGAAACCCGCTATTTTGAAGCCTATAACCGCGATAATGTGTCGTTGGTGAATATTTCCGAAACGCCGATTGAACGTATGACAGCAACAGGTATTCAAACCACAGCAGCCCACTTTGATCTTGACATGATTGTCTACGCTACCGGCTTTGACGCCATCACCGGTGGCTTTGACCGGATAAACATCACAGGCGTAGAAAATCAGACCCTCAAGCAAAAATGGCGTGATGGACCAAGTACTTTTCTTGGTGTTCTGACCCATGATTTTCCGAACCTGCTGATGGTGGCAGGTCCGCAGAGTGTCTCTGGGTCTACAAATTTTCCCCGGGCGATCGAAGGCGGCGTGAACTGGGTAACGGACCTGCTGAAACACGCTCGTGCTGCGGGACACACACGAATAGAGGCGCAATCCGAAGCTGAGCAAGGGTGGGTGGAAGAAGTTGTACGCGCCCACGAGAAGATGCTGGCAAGGCGCAGCCAAGGTTGGTTTACTGGGTACAATTCTAATGTCAGCGGGCACGAAGCGGGCACGGTACGTTATCAGGCCTACTTCGGTGGTGGCCCCAAATATGCCAACATTCTGGCGCAGTGTGCGGCAGAAGGTTATCAACAGATCGATATGAGCTAACAGGAAACGACTTAACATGACTGTTCAAAAACGAAGCATCGGTGGCACTGCGGTGCACCCCATTGGATTAGGCTGCATGAACCTCAGTCATGCTTATGGGCCTGCGCAGGCGCACAAGGATGCGGTAGCTTTCCTGCAACGTGCTATCGACATCGGTTACGATTTTCTCGATACCGCCACCATCTATGGCATGGGTAACAATGAAAAACTCATTGGCGAAGCACTGCAGGGACGCAGAAGCAGCTTTTTACTGGCGAGCAAATGTGTCATGGGTTTTAAAGATGGCAAGAGATGGCTCGATGGCAGCCCTGAAGCGATCAGGAAGGCCTGTACAGCGAGCCTTGAGCGTCTGCGTACCGACGTCATTGACCTCTACTATATGCATCGCCCCGATCCCAACGTGCCAATAGAAGAATCTGTCGGGGCCCTTGCTGATCTGGTCGCTCAAGGCAAGATACGCATGATCGGTTTATCGGAAATGTCCGCCGAAACGATAAAGAAGGCCCACGCAGTTCATCCCATTTCGGCGGTGCAGTCGGAGTATTCATTGCTCACGCGTAATCCTGAAATTGCGGTGCTGCAGGCATGCCAGGATCTTGGCATCACCTTTGTGCCTTTTTCCCCTGTTGGACGTGGGTTTCTTGCGGACGCTCCTCTGAAGCCAGACGAATACCATGAGAGTGATCTGCGCCGCACGTTTCCCCGCTACAGCGAGCCTCACTTTTCGCAGAATCTGGCGTTGTTAGATATTGCCAAAGCCCAGGCGAAGGCGTTGAACTGTACAGTTGGGCAACTGGCGCTGGCCTGGTGTCTGGCGCAGGATAAAACCTGTGTGCCAATACCGGGCACTACCAACCTGCAACACCTGGAAGATAACTTCGCAGCCGCGGAGATCAGCATGCCTGCTGATGTGCTGGCTCAATTGAATGCAGACTTTGCCCCGGAGGCGGTGTCTGGTTTACGTTATTCGCCGCCAGCCCAGGCGACGGTTAGCACCGAGCGCTATGAATTTGAGATGCGGGCGCAGTGACGATCCCAGGCGTTAACTCGCCTCTGGCTCAAAGTCTTCTTTGACAAAGTCTTCTTTGTACCGCACCGCACAGTCAGGGCAGACAAAATCGTCCGGTAGATCTGCAAACAGATGGCCGGGCGGATATCCCTCGTGATCATCGCCTGAAGCCTCGTCGTAGGTGTAGCCGCACCCGGGGCAGCTGTATTTAAGATACTGAGGCAAATTTGTCTCCGTATTTGTGCAGAATTTCATTGCGCGCCCCGGGATCTATATTGATCTTGTTCAGATCACCTTGCACGTGGGGCAGCGCCAGTAGTTTGGCATCCATGTATTTGAACCACAGGCTGGGTACGTAGGCCAGCAGGTACATACCGTAGTAGCCGCTTGGCAGACTCGGCAAGTCCTCAAAATGACGCAGGCTCTGGTAGCGTCGGGTGGGATTGGCGTGATGGTCAGAATGTCGCTGCAGATGAAACAGGAGCAGGTTGGAATAGATGTGATTAGCGTTCCAGCTGTGGTGTGGCTGGCATCGCTCGTACTTTCCATTGTCCTGTTGCGCGCGCAGTAAGCCGTAATGCTCTATGTAGTTGGCACTGGTCAGAACCCACCATGAGAAGAAGTTGTGGATCACGAGAAACGGTATCATGATCCAGCCGAAGGCGATCAGAAGGGACAGCTGCAGGACGACACTGATCAGATAACTCTGTAACACTTCGTTCTGTAAGCTGAAAACGGGCAAATCTTTGCGCTTCAGTCGCTCCCTTTCAATCACCCATGCTCGGTGAAACGCGCCAGGAATTTCACGTCGTGCAAACCGGTATATTGATTCACCCATACGTGCGCTTGCAGGGTCATCAGGGGTGGCCACATCTCGATGGTGGCCTCGATTGTGTTCAATCCAGAAGTGTCCGTAGGCAGGCACGGCAAGGACAATCTTAGCCAGCCAGGTTTCAAGATCCGTACGTTTATGCCCCAGTTCGTGGCCGGTATTGATGGCAAAGCCATCCGCGAAGCCAATCGCTACCGTTAACGTTAGAAACCCCCACCAGGGCAGCGTCTGGGTGCCTACAAAAACGGCCACCGTGATAAACGTTATATAGTGCAGTGGAACTGTCAGATAAGTCAGCACGCGGTAATAGCGATCTTCCTCCAGCTGGGGCACAAGCGATTCCGGTGGATTATTCTGGTCTTCTCCGAACAACCAGTCCAACAGAGGCGCCACAACAAACATAAGCGTCAGCGGTACGGCCAGCCAGAAAGTCTGCCCAGTGGCCAGAAAGCCGAACACGCCGATCAGAGGCAGCATGGGGTTGATCAGTGAAAGTGACCACCACCAGCGTTTCCGATCGACGTAGGTGACGGTGTGGTCAGTTGAATCAGTAAAACTGTAGGTGCGCATGAGACAGTCTCTTTCCCCTTTGCCCCTACTATAGGCAAAGTTAAGCGATTGGTCAGCCTTCAGAAATAGCGGTACTGCGCCTCATTTTACTGACCCCATCGTGTTCCAGCGCGCGCAGCAGGGCACTTTTCACATCTGCAATGCTGACAGGCTTTGAAACAAAGTCATCCATACCAGCGGCGATACACGCGTCACGATCCTCAGCCAGGGCATTGGCCGTCATTGCGATAATGTAGGGCTGAGTAAGGTCGTCTGTGCCGCGAATGATCTGGGTGGCCTCCAGGCCATCTACATTTGGCATCTGTACATCCATAAAGACGATGGAATAAGTTTGATCACACAACATTTTCACCGCTTCGGAACCATCGCTGGCAATATCCGCCCGAAGTCCCAGTTTTTTCAGAATCTGGCGAGCAACGGTTTGATTCACGACGTTGTCTTCTGCAACCAGCACCGCAATCTCCTGAAGGTCGGCGATACTTTCGTCTGGCGAGTAGGCGCTGGCGGGTTCTGCAGTGTGGTCGAAGGCCCGCAATAAAGCATTGAACAAGTCTGTAGGGCGGATCGGTTTGCGTAGAACCTGAGTAAACTGTGACCAGTCAACGTCACCCCGATCCAATGAGGTGAGCAGAACAACAGGCACAAGTTCTTCATGCTGGCTGCGCAATACCTCGAGCAGGTCTTCGCCATCCATATCTGGCATCGACATATCCGTGATGATCAGGTCGCAGCAGCCGGGTTTGTAAGCATCCACTAGGTCTGACGGGTGGCTGAACAGGGTCGCGGACATGCCAAACCATTCCAGCAGGCCCTGCAGTACTTTCCGGTTAGTAGAATTGTCATCCACGCCAAGCACTCTTTGGCCGTGCAGTCTGGGTAATTCCTGCCAGCTTTCGACCGCTGTCCATGGCGCGCTGATATAGAAGCTGAACGTGGAACCCGCGTCCAGCTTGCTGGAGACGGAAATTTCGCCGCCCATGATTTCAACGAGATTCTTGCAGATGGACAGGCCGAGACCGGTGCCACCGAAGCGTCGTGTTGTGGAAGCATCTGCCTGGGTGAACGGTTCGAACAAAGTATCGATTTTGTGCTGTGGAATGCCAATCCCACTGTCGATAATCGCGAAGTGTATTGTGCTGGCTACATCCTTTTTACCGGTTGTTTTCCGATCGACCTGCGCTTTTATAGTCACTTCACCATGTTCTGTGAATTTTATTGCGTTGGACAGGAGGTTGACTAACACTTGTCTTAAGCGTGACCCGTCGCCTAGGATATAGCCGAGGTCATCAGGTGATATGTCCAGGGTCAGTTCTATGTCTTTCTGAGCTGCCAGGCTAGCGACAACGTCAATAGAGTCCGTAATGCAATGTTCCAGATCGAAGGGCATCACTTCCAGTTCTATCTCGTCAGCCTCTATCTTGGCAAAGTCGAGGATTTCGTTGATGATCACCAGCAGAGATTCGCCGCTGGATCGAATGGTGTCTACATAGCTCGCTTGTTCCTGGTCCATGCGGGTATTCTGCAGTAAAGACGTCATGCCAATAACGCCGTTCATAGGGGTTCGTATCTCGTGACTCATGTTGGCCAGGAACTGAGTTCGCGCTTGTGTTGCCGTCTCTGCTGCCAGTTTGGCTTGTTCCAGCTCCTGTTCCCGCGCTTTGGTCGCGCGCATATCGGTGACGCGAACCAGAATCAGATCTGAATGTTCTTTGAGCCCAACCAATGCAAGGTTGCCCCAGAAAAGATTGCCCTCGGCTGTTCTGAATTCGATCTCTGCTGACCAGACGCTGCGTACCACCTCTCTCAGTTTCGGTCGAGATGCCGCGTCTTTGAAAGCGGTAAAATAGCTTTGTTGAATGCAGTTAACCAGCACAGACCAGTCGTCAGTTTCGAAAAGTCTTTCCGCGCTTTTGTTGGCGCGAAGCACTTTCAGATTTGAAATGTGTCCACATACTAAGCCGTCTGTAGATTGGGCGAACACCGCATCGCTGAGCACGTCACTCTGCTCGCGCGCCAACATGTTCTGTCCTAAAAAATACACCAATGCAGATGTTCCAATGATGATGACAGACACGCAGATGATGAATACGAGTGGCAGCATTTCGGGTTGTTTAACCAGCAACGAGGAGGCTGACAGGCTCGCAATGCTCAGCGCGGACCAGATAACCAAAGGCAGGCGCTTTCTGATGGTGAGACACCCAACAAATACCATGGCAAAACAGGACACTGTGCTGGTGACATCCAGATTTTTTTCGTACAGAAACACACAGAAGACTAAGAGGGCTGCGCTAGCACTGGCGCAAACGACCCAGTCGATATGACGGCGCAGGTGTTCGCTGAAGAACGTCGCTATGTATAATGACGATATGAAGGCGATAGCCAGATACCTTTCCGCCTGTACGGTGTTGTCCTGTTCATCAATAAGGAAACCACCGATGCCTAAGGCCAGTGTGCCAATGCCGATCACGAGTCTATACAGCTGGACTTGATTCATAACAGGTAGAAGTAGTTTTACTGCTTAAGCCTAGTGCAGATCTGCTACTTTGCAGGAAGATTGCCCTTACATGACGGGGCCACCTTGTTCCAGCCATTTTGCGCAATCCGGTGCCAGCACGCGTTGCTTGGTGTCTTCGTATAACGCCAGGTCTTCTTCGGTCAGTACATCCCGCCACCGGCCGTTGGTGCCTTTGAAAAAGAAGCCTTCAGCCCCGCCTTTAAAAAAGATGCCGCGCGGATCGCCCTCTTTATCCATCTTGATAGCGTTGGCTTTGACATTCTTGAAGGTGGTGTTTTCAACCACTTGTGCCAGATGTTCAGGGGCTGGGTTTTCACCCAGGAATTCAGCAAGTCCTTTGACTGAGCTTTCGAGATCATCAAGCATGTCGTTGTAGTGCATGAAGTAGAAGTTCGGTAAGTGACGATATTCCCAATAGCTCTGCGTGTGACCGAGGTTAGCCCAGAAGGGATAGCCTTCTGATTCCCATTCAAACCAGCCTCGAGTCATCCAGTTCTGCCAAAGCTCACGAGGATTTTCAGGGCACGGAGGTAGATCGTCGCCTACCGCATCCGGCGAGTTGTAGATATCCATCGCGATTTTTGTGTAGTTGGAATAGTGATTGAAGAAAGACATGAAAACATCTCGGCAGTCGCGGCCGACAATCACGTATTTCACTTCCGGGTAATAGGGTAAGCCGTCTAACGGCAGGTGACTTTTAATGAACCGCCGTCCTGGAATATTCTCAAGGAACGGCTTTAGATCTTCTTTCGAAATGGGAAGGAAGCGGGCGTCAGGCCAAGGTGTCACCTCCTGGAATCCAGGCATTGGATCGATTGTGCCGTGTAACAACTCATGCAGAATCTGCTGCGTCCACGTGGTGCCTGCTTTGTATGAGGTGGTGACGATAATATCGCTCGGACGAGGTTCGTATGCGTCCCATCTTGTCGAATCCAAATGGTGATTCTGGTAAACGCGGGTAACTTCCGGGAATTGACCTGACATAGGATTGAATCCTTCTTATGAGTTCTGTTTGGTGGACTGAAATGAGTTTTCCTTGCTTGCCTCGAAAGTGCAAGCACAGTCTTCCTGCTCTCAGTCGAATATTATAACCAGGGTCCGGGTAGGCTGCGGAAACCCCTGATAACAATTGCCCTCAGTGTGGTTAGGGTGCGGAGATTGATTTCAAGCGACACTCGCATGGCTAATGGTTCTTCTTTTCGCTATCTGTCGGCATTACATCCGACTTCTTTAAAACACCTCAGTCACCATCTCGCCAGGCTGGTAGAGACGCGCCTTTGGCTGAAAGTGCTTATCGGTATGTTCACAGGACTGCTGTTGGGTCTGCTGCTGGGGCCTACCGTTGGTTGGGTCGATCGTGACACTGGCAATTTGATCGGTAACTGGTTGGCGCTTCCCGGCCAGCTCTTTCTGGCTGTTATCCAGATGATTGTTGTGCCGTTGGTGATCGCGTCTGTTATTCGGGGTCTTGCGGCCAGTGAAAACGTGGATCAACTGCGCAAACTTGGCCTGCGCGCCAGCGCATACTTTGTTGCTACCACGGCGATTGCTGCTTTCTTTGGACTGGGGCTGGCAGCACTGCTGCAACCAGGCCGTCGTTTGGCCGGTAGTTTACAAGCCTCGGTGCCAAATGCCGAAACCGGCGTACAAACGATGGCCATTCCCAACGCCTCAGAGCTACCCACTGCACTGATCGGCCTGTTGCCAGGCAATCCTCTGAATGCCATGGCGCAAGGTGAGATGCTGCAGATCGTGATTTTTGGTGTGATTGTAGGCGTTGCCCTGGTGTCTATGCCGCCCAAACAATCCAAACCCTTGCTGGATTTACTGGAGTCACTGCAGCAGGTCTGCATGGTGGTCGTGCGGTGGGCCATGCTGGTTGCCCCGATTGCTGTCTTTGGTCTAATGGCTCGCCTTACCAGCCAGATTGGCCTGGAAGCGCTGCTCGGGGTGTCATTTTACGTTGTGACCGTGTTACTGGGCTTGCTTGGTGTGGTGGCGATGTATTTGTCGCTTTTACGCGTGTTTGGTGGGGTTAATCCGTTCGCGTTTCTGAAATCAGTGCGGGAATTGCTGTTGCTGGCGTTTTCGACGTCAAGCTCGGCATCCGTGATGCCTTTGTCTATCCGCACCGCTGAAGAGCAGCTCGGTGTGCGCCCCTCGATTGCACAGTTTGTTATTCCCCTCGGGGCAACCATCAATATGAACGGCACCGCGTTGTATCAGGGTGTTGCGGCTATGTTTCTGGCTCAGGTGTATGGGGTAGACATAGGGTTTGGTGGCATGCTCCTGGTTGTTGCTATGGCTGTTGGCGCAGCTGTCGGCTCGCCCGGTACGCCCGGTGTGGGCATTGTCATTCTCGCAACGGTGCTTTCGGCGGTGGGTATACCGCCAGAAGGTGTCGCACTGATTATGGGTGTAGATCGAATACTCGATATGTGCCGAACATCCGTGAATGTGGCCGGTGATGTGGTTGCCGCCAAGCTGATGGACAAATGGTTGGGTGATGACGAAGCAGCGTCTGTGCCTGACGAGACGCCGCCTGCTGAAAGTTGAACAGCCTGACCAATGACTAGTTGCGCCAAAGGGTGCGCTTAGTATTCAGGGTGCTGATCAGCGTAAATTTGATCTCAACTCTCGCCAGGGGTACCGTTCGGGTGGGTTAACAAAACAGGCATACCAATGGCACGGATCACACTGAAACAAAATCATGAACTTGAGCCACATGCGTTGGCGGCGGTGCAGGCCATCGAAGCCAGTGGCGCTGATTCATCCACCATGCGCGGCCTGGCCCACAGCCAGGCGCTGTTTGACAGCTATTTCAAGTTTTATATGCCGGCTCGAGCGGGCACCTCAATTCCAGAAGAGTTAATTGAACTGGTGCGTCTGAAAATTGCCCGTCACAACGATTGTTTTACGTGACTAAACGCACGTCTTCTGCAGGGTGCAGAACATGGTTTGACGGAAGAAAAGATCGCGCAACTTGATGAGCCAACAAATTCTTTCAGCGAAGTTGAACGTTTGGCGCTGGAATATGCTGATCGGATGGCTTTGGATCATCACCACATGGATGATGCTTTTTTTGATCGTATGCGGGAGCAGTTCACCGATGAACAGATCCTCGAGCTCGGCATGATGATTGGGCAATTCATTGGGTTTGGTCGATTACTGATGGTGCTGGATCTGGAATCCAAGTTTTGTCCAGTTGATGGTGGGAGCTAATACAACATATGGTGACACGTAGAACATTTCTGGGGAGCAGTGCTGCGGCCAGCGCGCTGGTTGGTAATCAGGTTGCTGGTGCGGTTGCCGCACCTGACTTAAAAAACAGGTTTCAACATGGGGTAGCCAGCGGAGATCCGTTGGGAGACCGGGTCATTCTCTGGACCAGAGTCAGCGGCGGGGCTGATAAGCCGGTCGCAGTTCGCTGGGTCATCGCCACCGATCAGGCATTACGGAACATTGTTAATCAGGGTGTAGTCACCGCCTTGCCAGAAAGAGACCACACGGTGAAGGTTGATGCGCTCGGGTTAAGTCCGGGACGCACTTATTACTACCGCTTTGATGCAGATGGTCAGGAAAGCCCGACAGGACGGACGAGAACATTGCCGGACAGGACCGTAACCCGTCTACGTTTTGCTGTGGTCAGCTGTTCAAACTATCCGTTTGGCTATTTTAATGCCTATGGTCGTGTGGCTGAACGTGCGGATGTAGATGCGGTGTTGCATCTCGGGGACTATTTTTATGAATATGCGCCCAATGAATATGGCAGCGGTGAAGAATTTGGCCGCGTGCATGAACCAGGTCATGAAGTGGTCACGCTTGCTGATTACCGTGTCCGGCATGCGCAATACAAAACGGACCCTGACTTACAGGAGGCTCATCGTCAGCATCCGTGGATCTGCGTCTGGGATGATCACGAAAGTACCAATAACAGCTGGCGTGATGGTGCACAGAACCATAACCCGGAATCAGGTGAAGGAAATTGGTCAACTCGGCGAGCGGTTGCCATTCGCGCGTATCACGAATGGCTGCCTATCCGTGAACAACCTTCCGCCAACGGCCCGTTTATTTATCGCAGTTTTCGCTTTGGACAGCTGGCTGATCTGATCATGCTGGACACCCGCCTGCATGGACGCAGCCGCCAGCTTGATGATCCGAAAGATACTGCAGGTCTTGCTGATCCCAGTCGCACGATTTTAGGGGCGGATCAGCAGGCCTGGTTAGCGGAGCAGTTACGCGCCTCTAAACGACAGGGAACGACCTGGCGACTGCTCGGCCAGCAGCTCATGTTTGGACAACTTATTGGAGAAGATGGTGTGCTGTTGAACACGGACCAATGGGATGGCTATCCCGCCTCCCGCACAGCAATTCTCGATCAACTGGCCGCTGAATCGATCAATAATATGGTGGTGCTGACGGGCGATATACACACAGCCTGGGCTATGGATATTGCGCCGGATCCTTTGAGTGATGGCTATGATCCAGGCAGCGGAAAGGGTTCACTGGCGGTTGAGTTTGTGACCACGTCGGTCACCTCTCCCGGACCCCAGGGTGATGCCGAAGCATTGGCGGAGCGCGAGCAGGTGATTATGGATACACGTCCACACATCCATTATGTGAATTTGCGTGAACATGGTTATTTGTTGCTGGATATCGATTCAGAACGAACTCGAGGTGAGTTCTGGTTTGTCGACAGCATAGTCGAGCGCGGAGGTGGCGAGCGCCTTGCGGCAGCGTATACCACGCAAGCAGGTGCCAATCACCTGGTCAGAGATTGAGCGCCGGAATTATCCTGCCTGGTCAAAGCCGCGGTCAATGACCGCGTCGACGACTTCTCTGGCAATGTCCAGCACAGACGTTCGCCAGGCGGCGTTGTCGGGATAGAAGGCGTCCATCATCCGCTGCTTGGTTTGTTTGCCCAGGGTGCTGTCAATGTCTCCATAGTGGTGCAGCCACTGGTCCTGTATCAGCGACTGGATAACCTCTAACGTATTGACTGTGCCGTATTCCAGGCCCTGGCCTAACATCTTGCGGTTACTGCGAGCTTGCGCGCCTGAAATCATCGACCCAGACAACGTTACGTCCCAACAGGTGTTTCTGGACCACTTCCTGGATGCGTTGGTTGGACCATTGCGGCTCAATTCGAGCAGTTCAGGGATGATCGAAGCTGAGGTTTCCGCGGACCAGTCTTCTGGTTCTACCACTGACGCAAGTTCCTGGTAGCCCTTCGTCCAGCAATGCACATTGCACAAAAGACCCACAATAACCCTCGATGCCATGGGTACCCGACGATATAACAAGCACATCTTCGCTCTGTGGCGCGTTCCAGCAGGCAACATCCATCGCGATGTCACCATCCGGTCCGCTTTCGGGATGAGGGCAGGTAATGTGCTCAGCATCGCCAATGCGGGTTAAAACGCTTTGCAAGCCGATTGATAGGTGTAATTGTGAGCTGTCCGCATATTCGTCTGGTTTTCTGTGCAGGTGGAGGATAGGATGCGCGCCCCTTTCAGGGTCCTTAATAGTCCCAGAGTACACCCTATGTCTGAGCCCCGCACGCCCGTCACTTTCAAAAGCCTCAACCTGCCACATACCCTGCTGACGGCGTTGGCGTCGGTGGGCTATGAAACACCATCACCGATTCAGATACAGGCCATCCCTCGATTGCTTGACGGACAGGATCTGCTTGGCAACGCGCCGACAGGCACGGGTAAGACAGCGGCCTTTGCACTGCCGTTGATCAGCCGTGTAGACATCACTCGGCCCCAGGTGCAGATTCTGACTTTGACTCCCACACGTGAGCT